TTATGTTGGAGTATTTGTTATGTTGGATTTTGTATGGGTCTGTTTTGGAGTCCTGTGGACTCAGTTGTGGAATTTGAATATTTTTGTGATGCTGTGGCGAATCACATCAGTTGAATTTTTCGTATTTTGTCAGACGAGTGTTGTATGACAAAATAATATTCGAACTTGTCTCGATGGGTGGCTTACAGTACAAACTCTTATATATTGTTGTGTGCAACTGTGTCGAGTTCTTTCCCAGTTCACTGTAGCTTGGCCCACAAACTATATTGCTCTAGTACTACGTATTAATAGTAGTTAATATTAATATTAATGAACTTGTTATTGTTAATGCATATGTCGATGTAATTCAATTTATTACTATTAGATTGTTTCAACCTGCACTGTGTCAAGATACTCTTCGAGCGTAGGTGGGGCTACTTCAAAATACATACTGATTTGATTACCCCGGAAATGGCAGCAGTGACAATTCGTCAGCAGCATGGCAACACAAACGATTTTCGCCACCGGTGATTGTCGAACTTTTGCAAGATTCTTGAACGTGATGTACGCCCACAGTGTTTGCATGATCTTGAAATTCCATTCGACTGACTGTCGCACGCTACTCATGGCTTTGTTGAAGTTTTGTTTTTCGACTGAAACGTTGTTTCCCTTGTAGCCACTGATAATGTGTCTGGTTACTCCATATGCTGGGTCGCCGTAGATGTATTTTGAGGCAAATATTGCCGGATGGCTTGAAATCGCTTGCAAGCGGCCACTGTGCGCGAGCATCGCTGAATCGTGGCGTCGACCCTCAGTTGGTCCCCAAAAGTGAATACAAATACCATCCGGGGCAGCGACGGCTTGGTAATTGAGGCAATGGATTCGTTTGTGCCCACTGTACAACTGTTTTTGCAAATTTAACCCGTCTCCAACCGCTGCAATACGACACGTTTGGACTTTCGTTCCGTGAATGAAGCCAAACACACAGATGAGTAGTGATCCTTTGTTATGGACGGCCACACAATCTTGTCCATGTTATCACGCAGCAATCTCAAATTGAGAAACAAAACCTGTTTCCAAC